TTATATTGATTAAACATTTCTTTCACTGCGGAAATAGCACAAAAGTGCCAGGAAGGCAAGGGGTCATCTTACCGGGGAACGGTCGCTGTGACCAAAACAGGCAAGAAGTGTCAGCGCTGGGACAGTCAGACGCCTCATGAACACACCAGGACACCTGCTAACTACCCATCGTCTGGACTGGAGCAGAACTACTGCCGGAATCCTGACGGCGTGGACGGGGTTTGGTGCTACACCATGGATCGCAGGAGTAGATGGGAATACTGTGATGTGCCAAAATGTGGTAAGGATTTTATCAAATCAAATCTTTTATCAGACATGCAGAACTTGTTGGTTCTCTGGTGATTTTTTCAAGAATAGGACCACACCAAGTCCTCAAACATTATCCAATCTGTTCCACAACAAATTCTTTCGCAATATGTGTTCCCGTCTGTATTTATAGACATATATTTACTTTTGTTATTATGTTTATTTTCATCTGTATGTTTTATATGGGCGAGTCATGCCTGAAGTAAAGAAATAAAAACAAATCAGGCTTATGAAATCTGTTGTTCTGACATTTTCATAGAAAGTCATGGGGCATCATAGAAAAGGAGAGCGAAATGTTAGAAATGCTACCAATTACTGAGAACCACGAGCTGTAGAAGCACATTCTCACCACATAGAGTAAGTCGTCTTTTGCAAGGTATATGCGTATTATAGTATGCAAGTTGTTGTGTACGTAAGAGTTGTTATATGTTGTAAGTGCTTTGTATTATTCTTGTGCAAATATTTTTTATCTTTTCTTGGCTGTGAAACAGGACGCTATCCTACGGTCTGGCTTGGCCTACATGTCACTCGTGGTGCCTCAAGATGGACAGATGGGTCACCACTATCCTACAAGAACTGGACTCCGGAGAAGATTGGCACATGCTGGGCGAGTAAGACGTTCTTTCTTGTCAAGAAGAAGGAATGCTGTGCTACTATATACTACAGATCCCGCGAGGTGTGTTTCGTTTGTCTCTCATTAACAGTAAAGCACCTTTAGGTGTAACACAAAATTTTGTACCTTAGGTATAAGCTGCGTGAGACCAGGCTGTAAGGTTTGAGCTATTGACACTAGGGTTAAAGTGGCTACTCTTTTTTCAAAAATGCCTAATTAAGTAGCCATCATACTAGAGAATGAGCTATATTGCCACCTGAATGAAGATGAATTGTATAGTTACTCTTCCTATTTGATGTGCATTCTTCGAAATTCGGTATGTATGTATTCAAAGTAGACCCATAAATGCAATGAGAATGTTAACGAATGCTGTGGGGATGATGTAGGAATATTAATATTGCAGAATATCCTTTGAATGCATGCCTTCTATATTTTTCCATCTCGAATTTGCCTCAAAAGCATTGAGCATTCCCAAAACATTCAGTCTTGCCAAAGGAATAGACACAAATATTTGGAATGTAGTAACAATAAAGTAAGAGTTACCATTGGTGTTTACTTTTAATAGGAAAAAATAAGTTGGCTGTTCAAAGCTGGAAGAGGACGACGTGGCGAATGGGCTAAAAAGCCATGCGACGAGCTCCTGCCCTACATTTGCAAGAAACGAAAGGCATGATAATCTAATTCTAATGATTCTAAACAGCACTTTGATTATAGAAATCAAGAAGTCGAGTTTCACATACAAACTTGTACCAAACTCATCCTTTAAAATCGTAGGTGACCTACTTTACCCACCCTGTACTATACCGTACCATCCCCAACCCTGTAATATTCAGTACCATCCCTGGCCTTAGGGCTGATCTACTACCCCCCCTGTACTATACTGTACCATCCCTGGCCTTGTTGCTTAAGTGCCTTCCCCCACCCTGTACTATTCTGTACCATCCCTGGCCTTGGTGCTGAAGTAACATCCTCCACCCTATACTATCCTGTACCACCCCCTAGCCTTGTAGGCCTTATATGGAGCTCATTTTTGGCTGTTTCTGGCTTGAATGAATGATAGTAATAACATGGTAGTCTGTTGACTACGTAACACGCAACCTGGTAGAAATAGGGATTAATTATAAATAATCACAAGTCATAAAATAAAAATAGCAAACCAAGAAGAAAACTGAGTGAGGAGTGCCTGGAGTATGGTGTTACAGTACCTGTTATAGAGAAGAGATGTTTCAGTCCTTTTCATGTAGTCCTGTAACAATGATGTGGTCTCTTTTGCTTATGCAATAACAATTGAGTAAAAAAACATTGTAGATGACTAAGATGAAGTAAAAAGACGTATTGAATATGAATGAATATAAAGTCTGGTAGTCACACTGTCTTGATCATGATATTAGTAGTGCATACAAATTGATGCATAGTAACAGGAAGGTCCTCAGGAAGGTCCTCAGTGTCGCGTTAAGCAAAAAACTCAGACAAGGAAGACCACGTGAAGGTCTCCTCAGTAGCCTTGTCGACGACTGTAAACTTTATCTCAATCATAACATCAGACTCGAGTCTCACGTACTGAAAAATCTTAGACACTTAGCAAGAGACAAACGAAGATGGATTGAACTGTACAGAGACATACACTGATTTGGCCTGTCAATTGTAGTTTGCTAATTGTAGTCTGCTAATTTACAGCCAAGAACAGTTATTATTATTATTATAACAAGAAGGATCAAAACTAATACACGTGACTTAAAAATGTCAAAGCGCGAAGCTTTCAGACGATATCCGCCATTTTCTTCAGCTACTGGCGAGAACAATCACATGACACAGAGGTTAAGAGGTCAGCACAGGACACGTGTTGTATTGATGTATGTTAAGTAACCTACAGTTTTCCTGATGGTAGTTGGTGTTGTTGTTTCTGTTGCATTAAAGACGAGATGTCACATCAAATGTTGCATCTCACTGCTTCAGTAAAACGTCTACATTCTCTTCTACTCTAAACCACACACACACACACACACAAACAAACACACACAAACACACACACAGGTTTTACCCATCTTTTATTCATTAGCTATTCAAATTTGCCTGCAGGGCGCTTGTCATATTAACTTTATTGTATGACTTAGTCCGATATTACACAATGGTTTATGTTCCATTACACACTCCTGGTGACAACATCCTAAACCCAAGTCATACCGGGTCAAAACCTTGTCAATCAAGTGAAACTCAATCCCTACCCACTGACATCGGAACACAAACATATGCATACAAACATAAAATGATTAATTATTGTCACTCAAAACAATATTTCCGTCCAGGAACATTAGCTTCTAAATAAATAATCTGTAGCAATAATATTGATAACCATTAATATATGCAAGCAAAATAACAAAGAAAATGTTAGCACAAAAGAACGTTTGCTGCCCTTGATTATACAATCTAAAGGAACAATAACCAATAATTAGCTCTATTATTGGTTTTACCATGATCAGTTTTATAATAAATACATACTATCATAACAATAAATCTATTATTGCAAGTTTCAGTTATACTGAAAATAAGATTGTCTTGCTTAAATATCTATTGCACTTACTTAAATAACTTTTAACTTAAGAACTTAACTAATTAACGCTTCATTAAAAACATCAACAGAATTGAGTTACAAATATGAAATCTAGATTGCTTGCCATTAAAAGACTTGGCCAACGTATGAGTTTCTTTTCAACGTATGAGTTTCTTTTCAGTTTCGGTGTCATCTGCATTCGTTTACTTGTTTGTCCAAGATTTCTAATCAAGATTTTACAAAGAATGAAAAGATAAAACTGTGAGGAATTTGCCAGTATGTATTCACTTCCTGAGTTAACAGAATTTCCGTTAATGCAGTATCATCAGATGTAACGTTAGAATCTATTTTCCTGTGTAGAGGTCGCCTAAAAGTCATTATCTTAGAAAAACAATATTTCAAAATTAACTTCTGTGTGTTGGATCAAAGGTTTTAACTTTGAACATGTAGCTATACCAACACACATGAACTTTCATGATACTAAAAAGGGAGAGGCACTTCACGTATACAAGACTTCCCATCCCTGTACTGTGGAGTGACGCCCACCGAGCCTCTTAGGCTAATATGTCTATCTGTGTGCCAAAAACACACTACGGATTTGGTGTGCCAATGTGACAACATCTGCACATTTGCCACCGAGAGCCGTATAAAGTTTAATTTGCTGTGGTCTGTGAAAAACTCTTTCTTACACATGGCAATATACCTGTACAACGAGTCTTCGCAGTAAGACTCTTATGACTCTCTGGTCTTTACTTTAGTGCCGATGTGAGGCTTTTTGTAATGTTTTTGTTCGTGTGTTTGTATAATTATGTATTGCAATGTTAATTTGTATTTGCCAGACAAGTAACTCTAAAAAAATCAGTGTTATTCCGCGTGTTTTTGTACAGGCTGCGAGGCTGGGTTTTTATGAATAAACCGTTATAAACTGTTATAAATGTCTAGAGATCAGTGTCCTCCCCGGGTGTGCCTGACTTGATGGTGAGAGCTGGGGTGTGAGAATGTTGGCAGCCGTCGCAGTTGAGCGGGTCAGTCTATGGAGGAATATCAGAGTGACTGGTCGAAAGCTCTAGGTGTGACAACTATATAGAAGTTTTAAATTTTACACATGTAACTACCAACACAAACAAACTGTCATGATAGTAAAAAGTTAATTTGCTGTGGTCTAGAGGTCAGTTAGCCTGATTAAATCGCTTTACGGTTGCTGTGGTCTAGAGATCAGTTCGCTTTACTGTTGCCGGCCTCCCCACATCCAGCGCCCCCCCCCCCTGCGGGGAGGGGCCACCAAAGCCGCGGACGGCAGAGTTTGTGTTACACAGACGTCTATTAAACTGTGTGTCAAAAACACACTATGGACGTGGATTTGGTGCGGCAATGTGACAGCATTTGCACATTTTGCCACCGACAGCCGTAAAAAGGTTAATTTGCTGTGATCTAATCAATTTTAATTATATATGTATCCAGGATTACCTGAAAAGCAGGCCAAAATGGCCTGAGCTGTAATTACTGGTAAAACAAATAAACTGAAACTGTCTAGAGATCAGTGTCCTCCCCGGGTGAGCCGGACTTGATGGTGAGTGCCGGGGTGTGAGCTGAGTCCGCCCGGTGCTTCTCCTCCCACTCCCGCTGCTTCATCTTCTCCTCCTGACGACGCTTCTGCGCATCCTGCAAGCAAAGAAAGTGTCTTATTACCTCCATGAAAAATGGAGGTATTGCCTTTGGTGTGTCCGTGTGTGCCTGTGTGTGTATTTGTGTTTCCGCACATTTGTAGTCAGCATAACTTCATAACGCCGTCATGGATTGTGATGATATTTGATATGATGGTAAGTCTTAGAAAGACAAATGTCAAGGTCAAATATGGGCCTCCTGGTGGATGACCTTGTTCTATTGGCATCTATTTCCTGAGATAAAGGCAACATTGAACTGACGATCTAATTTTCCACTGGTAGTGCCAGAGAAGACAATTGATATTTGCAGAATCTACAGGTTCATTGCCAAAAGCAGTTACTCAAGCAACTATGATTTTGTAAAGGGTCAAACGTTTCAGCTAGTATCCACTAGCTTTCGTCAGTGACTGAGAGACAAGAGGAGAAATGCAGGTTTATAAACCCAAACTATTGATTGATATGCAAATAAAGTTAAGACAATTAGCTGAAATGTCTGACCGTTTCCAAAATCATATCCAGTTGCTTGAGTAATTTCTTTTTGGCGTATCGTATTACCTGGATGTCTAACCTTCATCGAAGTACAGGTTGATTGATCTGTGAAAACACCCTTAGCTCTTTTCCAAAGTTTCATTTCGTGTTGTCTCAAAATATATTTCCCCCCTTACGAAAATGCAACAAAAAACTACAAACCTCCTCCTTCTGCCTCTTGACTAGCTGATCCACCTGTAGGACCAGGTTGTCCAGTTTGGAGTCGTAAGCGTCCTTTTTGTTGTCCAGGCTCAAGGCACGGTTCACAGGGAAAAACTCGTACGCTTCGTTTTTCATCTATTCAAGTAACACACAATCAATCATAGATATGTTTTAAATGTTAGTGACTAAAGAGTTTACTCAACTGTAAACGAAAATAAATAAGAAAGTGATAACAAAGTAATTATGAAATAGGATGATGAGGTTTATACTTGTAATCAAGAAGTCTGAACGCGTAATCAAGAATTAGACTTAAAAACCTTGAATGCGCCAACACAACGCCAACACCAATTGGTGAAAGAGCCAATATTACACACTACTATACTAGTCCCAAGTGCTAAATCCTTCATCCAGAGACCCACACAAATCTTATACTTAAGTTCCACTGTGGGTCTCATATTACTGAGTAAAGAGACTCTTGTTAACCAAGTGTTTTATTCACAGCCGACGTTTCGGTGACCTTCTATCACCTTCCTTAGTGTCTTTGACAGATACTCGTAGTCACCCAAACGTCGGCTGTGAAAAACACACTTGGTTGTGTAAAAAGAGCCTCTTACTTTGTGACGTACCAACCTGATAAAACTATTCTCATATTACTGTTTTACACTTAAGGAAGGGATAGAGTTTACCAGTTTAGCGACGTGGAACTCGATGGCGGTGTACTGGGTCTCGTTGGTTTCGTCCAGGTGGATGAAGAAGAACAGGTAGGACCACATGTTGTGTTCGTTCTTCACATGCCGGCGGAACCCCTGGTACAAACACAAACAAACAGATTAGCCTAACAGGCTCGGTGGGCGTCACTCCACCGTATAGGTGGGGAAGTGCCTTTCCCAAGGGTGCAACGTAGGGCCACAGTGAGAATCGAACCAGGGACCTCTCGGTTCCGAGTCCAACGCTCTAACCGTTGAGCCACCGACGCCACAGGAAAACACAAATGAATTATCACATTCTGCGTTTTTTTTACTAAACAAAATCTTGTAAAAGATAAAGACAATGTTGGCCTTGATAATTTATGATCATAACCTTTCTGCAAAATAATAATTTGAAAAGAAAAATTGGCAGAAATCACTCTAAATGAAGATTATATTTTCCGTGTCACTACCAGTGTCTTAAACTTTGAAATGTATATGTATATGAAGCACATAGCAGTAGAAATAATCTTTTACATAACAAAAATATTTTGAATTTCATACCTTTCCAAATCGCTCGAAGTCGTAGTTGGTCCTTCCACAGATGAAACAGATGTTTGCCATGTCAAAGTCAGCTTGCCACTGGAAAAAAATACCACAAGTCAAACTCTAGTGCAAAAATAAAAAGCTGGAAAATTTCTCTTTGTTGCTAAACTCTTATTACAATACGATTTTCCAGCACTTCTGAATGTGAAATTTAAAGTTAGAAGTGGATTCCATTTTAAAAGTTAATGCAAACACGTTAAAACACATCCGTAGACATAGCATGTGACCGTGGAAGCTCTAAACTATTAATTCATCGTGTCGGTAAAAAGTAACTTTGAATCAAAGTTTAATTGCAATTGCCAAAAAATCAATTTGACCTACTCAACTTTTGACTAAAAATCTCCAATCTTTTTCACTATGCCTGTAGAAGTGTTTGCTTTAAGTTCAAAAATGAAATCCACTTCTAAGACTTAATCACTAATTACCTTCTTGTTCCTCAATGAGACGAACCCCCCGACAACTATACCAAAGATGAGCCGGAGCCCGACCATGATGAGGGTGACCCAGAAGGCCATGTACCAGAAGAGTCGGAGCGCATACGAAGCGAACGTTACCCCCGCTGGAGGCAGGATCGCCTAGTGCAAGCGTACAAAAAACAGCGAAGCAAAATTTTACTCATCCGTACCTTCTTGTTCCTAAGGGCCACAAAGGCGTCCACGATCATGCCAAAGACAATGCGGAGGCCGATCGTGGTGACTATGACCCAGAATGTCAGGTCCCAAAGTAGTTTGATGGCATAGTCCTCGAAAGTAACCCAAGATGGCGGGATGAGGGGCTAGTGGATAGAACGAGTACAAGGTCGTCACCAAAGGCTTTGAAAGATGATTATTACTTTTTTTAATTAAGACAGGAGCAACAAAATACAAAGTACCTTCATGGCTTTTTTTGTTTTTCGTGGTTTGTTGAGTATTTTGTGTTCAAATAATACATCATGCAAAATATAAATCTACAGAAGGTCACAAGAAAGGCTTAAAACATTTTTTTCATGTATGATTTTTTCTAAAATTGAATTTTAATGTTCAAAGTCCAAAGATGTATTTCAGTGACAAGTTTCTTTATTCACAAATAAGAAAAAAAGACGACAATAGATGAAATAAAATAAAATTGAACCAAATTAAATTAAGTTAAGTTAGATTATTTCAAGTATTCAAGTACATGTACTTACTTTATGGAGGTTTTCCATGAGGCCATACCGCATGGTGGAGACGAAGCACTGCCCCAGTGACTCGCAGAACTGGCCTTTCTCTTCGTTAAAGTGGCCCCTGAAGAAGGCAAACCCGATCACTGCGTAGATGTAGATGAAGATGATGGCCAGGACGCATACCCACAACAGCGACCTCCCTGTGAATATAAGGTAGCAAAGATTTATTCAGGCCTGGTCGAAGAATTTGACACACACAGACATAGACACAAACACAGACATAAACACACACACAGATACAAACACACACACACACAGGTACACACACACAGACATACAGAAAGAGAGAGAGACAGATACAAACACATTGACTCCTTAAGGGTATTCCTGTTAATTAACAACCATCAAACAAACAAACAAAAACAAACCATTATGAAAGTCCATCCGTGTTGGTAGTCACATGTTTAAAGTTGAAACTTTCGATCCAACACAATAAAGAGAGGCTGGTCGAAAGCTCTAGGAGAACTTTATTATGTTGGATCTAAAGTTTTAACTTTAAGCAAAAAAACGCACCGTTAAGTGTGACGGATGAGATGACCCTGATGAGTAGCTGGTTCTTCACGGCGATGTGGATCAGGTGGAAGCAGAAGAAGTAACCGTAGAACACAGTCCCCAGGATGGAGAATATCAGGTACGCCTGGAGAAAGGGAACATGTTGTTTGTTTGTTTGTTTATTCGTACATGTTATTAAAAACAAATATAATAAATGAAGCAGAAGAAGTAGCCGTAAAAGACCGTCCCCAGGATGGAGAATATCAGGCACGCCTGGGAAAGCCAGAGAACATATTGTTTGTTTGTGCGTTTGTTTGTTTGTTTATTCGCACATGTTATTAAAAACAAATATACTAAAAAAGAAGTAGCCGTAGAACACAGTCCCCAGGATGGAGAATATCAGGTACGCCTGACAACGGGAACATATTGTCACTTAAAATGAAACAAGTTTGAACTGCAATTGCCAACACAAGAAATTTTGAGTCACACAAATTCTCGACTGTACAACTCCAGTCTTTGTCAATGAATGAGCAAACTTGTTTCATAATGACTTCTACTAACACAGATGAACTTTTGAGATAATATTGTAGCTTAGTAACTGTGTTGGGGACTTATGGAAAAGTTATCTGAACAAAAAAATGTACAACATACTTCCACTCCTAGCTGCAATGTGGACTTACAGTAAACTTGAACTATCTAAACAAATGTATGTGTAGCATGTCATAACAAAATGAGTTGTCCTTTGGTGTTTTTCTTTTAAGTCTAGTCTAGTTTGGAAATTTTACTGTTTTAGGCAATAGAATGACAAAAATATTTTATCTCATAATGTAATACACTAATGCCTCTAAATAGCTTGTACATCATCTATTAAAAACAGGATGAATTCACATACCACATAGTACAGAGTCTTCAGACTGAACACTTGTATCTCGAGCTTGGAGACCCTCTGCTTCTGTGCATTCAGGATCTCTATGCCCAGAAAGTTTTTGCTGAAAACACAACAGAGACTCATAAATGCCAAGTGATTGGGTTCGATTTCAGTGAACATTCTACTATAGACTACGAAACCAGAGTTGGTGTGTTTAGTTACTATGTTTCTTTTTTTTTAAAGACTCATTAGTCCCTACAACTTTGAGCTTTTCCTTTGCAAGATTGAGTTGAGGAATAGAATACGTCGGGTTTTTACATGTAACTTTTCATGTTAATGAAATTGGAAATGTTGGCAGTCTTACATTGGTGCGGGTTTACATACTCTTGACCAACTCTTTTAGCTATAAAAGAGACACTGGTGTACAAGGGGAAGGCTAATATTGTAAAACAGGACGTTCTTTGCCACCAAGATGGTTCACGTGGCAACGAATAATTGGCACTCTGCATAAAGCAAGACGTAAACTTAAACTTTTTTTACCTGAACCATGCCTTGGTGTTGTTCCAGTCCGGAAGCCTGAGCCTGTTGGACAGGAAGAAGCTGATCATGAGGCAGAAGGACAGGATGTTGTGGATCCCGCCCAGCACGTAGATCGTCACCTCGTAAGGCCCGTTGTCCGCGCTCCACAGGATCCCGTGGGGCGTCTTCGGCTCCGGGCTCGCACACGTGGCGTTCGCTCTGGTCCTGGAGGGGGAGAACACAGTCATGTTACAAACACTGGCTAAGGCTGGTAATACTTATTACCTACATGAACTAACCCACCCCCACATGAAAAATTGTTTTTGGTATTCGTGTGTGTGTGTGTGTGTGTGTGTGTGTGTGTGTGTGTGTGTGTGTGTGTGTGTGTGTGTGTGTGTGTGTGTGTGTGTGTGTGTGTAGTGTGTCTCTCTGTCTCTGTGTGTGTGTGTGTGTGTGTGTGTGTGTGTGTGTGTGTCTGCGCGCGCGTGTGTGTGTCTGTGTGTGTGTGTATTTGACTGTGTGTGTGTGTGTGTGTGTGTGTGTGTGTGTGTGTGTGTGTGTGTGTGTGTGTGTGTGTGTGTGTGTGTGTGTGTGTGTGTGTGTGTGTATCAGTGTGTCTGCGTATGGCCCTTACGGTGAGTTGTAATGGATATGTTTGAAGGCTGAAGAAGTTTGCATTGAAGACGTTTTTTTTAAAAGGCACAGTCTTAACGATACTACAGATATTAGTAGATTTGCAGAATACTGACCCATAGTGCTGAGGACATGGTGCGTTCCACGTGGACAACATGAAGATGTTGATGACCAGGGTCAGGAAAATGATGGCGCGGTTCCAGAACACTCTGGAACAAGAAAGCAAAGAATTACCACCACCTTAATTTTTTTTTATTTATTTTGTCAACATTATGGAATTTTCTTCCACTCTATCTCAGATAAAAAAGGGCTAAAGGGTAGAACAATAAACTCAAACTCCCAGCTTGCATGGAAACCATTCTGACTTCCAATTTGACCTTCCTTTCAGTCTGTAGTTCATAATGCTTTTGCACCTTCACTCCTTATAACTCAACTTAAATACTTTTAGACAAACAAACGAACAACATGTCTTCTTTGTCACAATCAACTAATTCATTGAGTTCATTTAAGTTATTAATAAACAGTTTGACTTTCACTGCACTGTGCACTCCTACTTCTTACTATAATGTTTTATTGTTTTAACGCTAATGGTCTTTTAAACGAATTGTTCTTTTACAAATGTATATGTACTGTAAAATCAGCGCAATTTAGTCGTTGTGACTACCAAGTTGATTGTACAATAAAGTTTGAAGTTTACTCACTCATGTGCGATGAAGAACGCCGCCAGCTTGTGGGACCGGACCCAGGCCTGGTAGTTAATGTCCCTGCGGATGTCCTTGGACCAATCAATGAAGTCGCGGATCTTGTTGCTAGGCGACGAACGATCCACGCTCCACTTCAGCTTCTCCTTCACCTCGTTACGCAGAAGATCCTAAACATGGACCATCAATTGAACAATATTTCTCATGCGTCGGTGAAGGTTAGACATCCAGGTTCTAAGATATGCCAAAAACAGTTAATGTACTCAAGCAACTGGATATGATTTTGGGAACGGTCAGACGTTTCAGGTAGCATCCAATGTCGTCTTTCGTCAGTGACACTAATATTTCTTATGACTCTTTCTACTTCAAAGATTACCTTGACAGTTACGGTGCTCTCTGCAAATGTAGGTAGCAAATTTATTTGTATGTCATTTCTCAAAAAGAGTGATAGATGGCCTCCTTGACCAGTATTTTGCCCATGGTAAAATCCTACTTGTTAATTCTAATTACAGATCAAGTAAACCCAATTCAAAGCATAACACACTAGTTCCTTAGTGTTCTCATGGTTTTCATCAAATATGGACCTTCAACCAAACAGCATCTTCAACTGAAGCTAGATACTAATTCTAACTAGACTACAAATTATCACGTTAGAATAATGTGGTATCGAGTTTGCATGTCTCACCTTCTTCCGAATCCTGAAGTGCACCTTCTGTATCTCGTTGTCCTTGATAACTTCTACAGACAGCGTGTTGCCCTCGAAAAACGCCCATGCCTGCTTTGCATCCTCTGTCTTCTGAAAATCTTCAAGAAAAAAATTGTCTATTTCTAGGTGGCAGATCTTCAGATTAGGTATGCACAAAACTTAACTGTATCGTTTTTTAGGGAAGCATTTGATAAAGATCTTGATTATGATGATATTTATTTTCACGTTAAATGCAGTTTAAATTATTTATTTCTAGGTTATATCAAGCATGTCATCAAATACCCGTGGTGAAAAAAAGAGAAGAGACAAGTGTTATAAATATTGTAAATATTTTACTACATACAAATGCCACACACACACACACACACACACACACATCTGCTGTTGTTATTTGTCTCCTTCTTGTTGAGGCAAATGGTTTTCTATCCATATTGATTTTTGGTCATATATATTACCTTTTGGGTTGAGTGTGCTGTCGAGGTCCAGGAACCGCTTGATGATGTGGAAGAAAGTAAAGCCGAGGTGCTGCCAACTTTTCTTCAGAGTTTCATCCATTGTTTTCTTCTGTCGTAAACAAAACGTAAGTTATAATGTACAGAACACTTTCCTGAAAGGGCTTGGGGCCACATGGCGTAGCCTTTGAAGAGTACAGCTTCTGAAAAGCACAGCCTCTGATACAGAGCCTCTGGAAAGATGCTGATTCATTTGTTGTTTATAGTTCAGTGAAATGCATAGAAAGTCATCTAATCTTTTCAACTTTTTGTATAGTCGTAGCGTGTGATTAATAAAGGTACTTACCCGTTCCAAGAAACTGTCGACCAATGTTGTGTTTACAGCATCTTCATCCAGCAGATCTTTGATTTCCTGTAAGACAGGAAAAATGGGGAAAATAACTATTATTTCAACCACAAACTTAAAACACTGTGAAAACTTCATTTCCACTTTTACCGCAAAATGCTCCCCCCTCCCAAATATAAACAAATTTACATTTACCTTTGCCAGTGCTGCATCGTTCGTGTTCTCTTCAATGATAACCTTCAGCAGGTTCCCGATGGAAGTTTTCAATTGTACAACCTGAAGAAAAGAAGTTCAAAACGAAATATATGAAATCAGCCTTTGCTGTAGTTTAGAAAGCTGCCAGGAGGTCCATAAATTTGCGTACATAAAGTACTATACGGATCCATCTATAACTTCTGGAGTTATGCTGTTAATAGACAGACCCACAAATGACGCCTGAAAAATTATCAATTTGGCTTAATCAAGATAAATTTTGGCCTCTTACAGCAAGTTGGTCTGCTCCATTGAACTTGGTTTCTCGTAGGATGAAGTTGATGTAGTCGATTGCCTTGGTGTCAAAAATGATGGCCTGATTCTTGGAGTTTCCCTGTAAGTATAAATGCACATATTATCAACTGAATTTTCATAGCTTTCCTTGCTAAGAGATGTACTGAACCATAACGTACTTCATTCAACCAGGATTACTGTATATGATATCTAAATATTGATATATGATAGCTATAGAAAAAGGTCGTAATTATTAGATATTCTACAAACTAAGCAGAACAACCATAACTGCTTTTGTCATTCCAAAATTACATGGTGCCCAATAGTCATTGAGTCTACATTTATGCTATAACTATAAAAGTCCTTAGTGCCACTATGTCGATGAAGGTGGTTCGTAGTTTATCCGCTTTAAATTACTGACCACTGCCAGGTTGAAGAGGGTGTTGAAGATGCTGGTGACCAGCCTGATGTTGCCGCCGTTGATGTTGGAGTAGTGCAGCTGGAGGTACAGGGTGGTCTCCGCTACCAGGTTGAACGACTTCATGTTGTCTGGCTGTTCTCGGATGTAGTCCTGAAAAATGACAGGTCCAGATTCAGTCTATTCATCCTATTCCAGTTCCTATCTGTTCCTCCTATCTCTACCTTGCGAAGAGTATTCAAACAATTCACAATTATTTCGCATTGAAACAAGACCCCTGTTGGCTTCATGTTGCAAGGATCTCTAGCTCTGCAATGGTAACAGGGGTCAAACATACAAATGCAACAGTAAAGGGTCTTATTTTTCTTACACTTTAATTGCCAGTAGCATTTATTACAGCAATATGAAGATATTTCTTAATCAATCCAAAGGTATAATAGACTCATAAATTCATCGTAAAAACTGTCTACTACTACAGGAACACATTTGTATGGAAACATACATAAATTGCCGTATGTTCAGTCTTGTGTGTGATTGTATGTACATTACGTATTATGCTATGGGTCACTGGAGCTGAAATAAAGAAGTTAAATGTAATATTACCTGTAATCCAGTGTGCTGTGCATCACACATCATACCGAGCACACGTAAGACCAGCTCGATGTTTCCGTCGTCCTCAAACAGAACATCATCCAGGGGCTCCTCAAGCTCTTCTAGCAGATCATTGTGCTCGGAAGTCTGTAGAACGAAGAAAGGCAAGACATCAGTCATGCCTAAAATGTGCCTCTATGTTTGTCCATTGGGTCAAACAGCTGTGCATGAGCACAATTGGTGCTAGTTTGTATGTTTAGCATAGTTTACTGATAGCACTGTGTGTTTGACTTTCCTAGTCATTTCCATAAGTGCTTAATTCTATAGCTCTAAGCAGTTGAGTACCATGTTCCATTCTTAGAGTCTTCAGTAAGAGTTGGTCAAGAAAAGCTTAAGCAAAATACTGTAGATCTTTGTGTACCTTTTATATATTCGCAATATATATTGGGGAAATGCTGTAACCGGGCCCAACATGTGCACGTGTTTTTACCTACAGTACTATTTTGACCTCACACTTGAAAACCTAGTTCCCCTCCTATTGTGATATTATGTTCCCTCAAAATAGAAGAACGTACATGTACAATTGAATTTGCACTTACCGCTGCATTGTCCACGACCACTTCAGTTGGTTCGTCGCCCGAGGTTGACGCCTCTCCCAGTTTGCTCTGGTTGGCCATCAGTGCTTCTGCTGTCTGCTTCACCGACTTCAGCTCAATGCCTCCGTTGGCTGGTTCTGAAGACAAAAAAACAGATTCTTTAAGCCTTTTTCAAGGTCCCACTTATTCTATGATCACAATCTTTCCCCTGGAGTCCATTTTCATGTTGTCAATAATATTCCATCAACAACTACATAGCCTTATAGTATCGACGTATTTTCTTCAAGTGTCAGCTGCCATTTTGCGTTTTTAAGGTGAAATAAGCAATATAGATTTTCCGTTGATCCTAATCAGACCACTTTAGTTCAACATAAAATGTAACTGACCCAATATCGGTTAATTTTCATAGTACGGTCATATATTAAAAGGTCGAAAGGACAATAAATGAAACATATCAAAAGCACACTGAGTAAATAGAAGAAGTTAGCTAACTCAAACGCAGTGGTCTTGAAAGTGAACGGAAAGGCCAGGGGTCAACGTGAAGTAAAAAAAAAGATTGAAATATAATCTGTATCAAAGACATCTTAAATCAGACCTGTCCCTTGTTGAGGATTTTTCAGCACGGGCGGAGTGGGCCACGCAGCCCTGCTTCGGCCCTGTTCAGGTCTGCTGCTGGTGGCTGCAGACTTCCTGGATTTACTGGACTGCATTCTCTTCCTGCCCGTTTTGACTCTCCCCCGTCCCCGAGCGCTCATGATGGACATCATGGACGCTGTGCTGCCGTGGCGCTTCACAGCCTGAGGAGGAAAAGGGACAAGAGTGGTGTTTAAAAACACATCGGCGACGTGTTTGGAAATTAGAGAAATCAAAGAGTTCACATATCCATGAAATATCTAGAGTCGTTGTGAAGTTCTCGTTTTCAATTCAATTCAATTCAAACCATTATCGTGTTCCTTCTTGCCATGTGCGGAGACCAATTGAACATCCAATGCACTTCTTTTTTTCATACAATCCTTTATGTACTCAGAATAATGTTATAGACTAATATGCTGTTCATGTCAAACCCCACTATGTCTAAAATGTCTTTGTCAGAAGGGCTCGCCCTTTGCAATAGCCACAGGCAAGTTGGGCAGCCCTGGCTGTGCATGCTGAACAGCTAAACCAACAAGCAAATAATAATGTAAACAAACCACACAAGACCTTCCTGTGAAATGTACAGTTATATCATGCTTCTATTCACAACACTATACAAAGTCAATAACACGCATACTCACCGCCATGGCTGTTTTCCCGTCGATAACCGCCCTGCTGAGGGCCTTCTCCATCTCCATAGCCTTCTGCAGCTCTGCCTTGTGCTGCGCTTCAAGAAGACGCCTGAAAAAATTAAAAAAAAATTAATGTATTTTCAATCATTGCTGAGAAGATAGGCATACATTCGTTGCAAAATATTCATCATGTTGTAAGAGAACATGCGTTTATTGTTATTCTAATTAGATGAATTAGCTTAATTAGTTGCTTATTTGATTTAGTGGAAACCTTTTGGGAATTTTCTGGGAATGGCATACAGGCATATTTAGGTTTTCCTCCCAAAAAATTAGAGTTAGAGTTCGAGTCGCATTTCCCGTTGGTGACATGTAGGTCCAGAAACAGCAAGGTGATGTGTTGTAATCTCCAAGTAGATCATATGATGACAAGGTGGCTAATGGACACACCTCTGGCCAATGGAAACTGCCTTGCCACCATGTGATCTGCTTGGAGATTAAAGTGCTGTACAAATTAGTTTTAGTCAAAGTAAAAAATGCCTTTCTGTTGTGATGACAGCGGACAGTTCCATTCTTGACTTGAAAGCAGAAAACAGCATCTCTTCCCTGCTGTTGAGAAAGAAGTCCATCAGGCAATCCTACAAAATAAAAAGTTAACTCAAAGTTATTATCATATTGGGAAAAACAATTTAAGACTAATATATTTAACTTATAACCTGCTTTGATCTGTAATATCGACCTGTATGTCATTGGCTTATTATTCCCACAAAAAATACACTGGATGCACATTGAGAAACCACAGTCAGCTTGATTTCAAAAGCCCAAAACAACAGACACGGCAAACTATTCCTGCACCATAAGTCTACCCACTTATACAGTCAACATGACCTACCCTCATACTAAGGAACATCATAATCCATCCATAGCTTCTTGAGTTATGCTAGCCCAAACACACACAAACACAGAGAGAGAGAGAGAGAGAGAGAGAGAGAGAGAGAGAGAGAGAGTTCCTCCATGATAGATTATTTTCAGTTTTAAACATAAAGTCCCCTTGTAAGAGGTAAGAATCAAGGGTAAGGGACATGAAATAACCTGAACATGCTCGTTTCCTCCGTACAGCATGGCGGCCAGTAGAGCCAGAACTTCTGCGATCAGGTCATCACTGTCACGTGATATCAGCGGCAGGATCTTCAGCAGCGCACCTTTGTCTGCAAGGGCCATCTGCACCTGCTTCAGGTACTGAATTTTCCTACATGTGAAGAAACAAAACGTGGTTTACTTGCTGTTATCGGTAAGTGGTTTGTAAGTTTGTTTGCACTTGTTTTAAGAAGAGAAAAGAAGTTAATGTCAACTATAGTTGATAAAGTGAACCAGTCAGAATCGTCCTATGGAAGGTGACAGACGATCACCGAAACTTCGGCTGAATAAAAGACTTACCAACCTGTTGAAACTATTCACGGATATAGTTGATAAAGCATAACATAGCTTTATATTCAAACATTTTAACATTTTGATCACATAAATAGGCGATAAACTTCATATTACCATAGCCATTGTCTATCTGTAATGTAACCAACATGAAGGCAATCACATTGAATACGTAATTTATATCCAGTTGTGATTTGAGCAGCGGAAAATTGCTTTTTATGGGTTCACCACACCACGAAGTACCATATTGCTTTTTCTGATGTTTCTTCTTCTTCTTCTTCTCCTTCTCCTTCTCCTCCTGCCATTTTTTAAATGGATTCAGCTTCTTCATTTTAGGGCCCAAGGTCTGAAATTTGGTATGGAGGTACAGTGGGCAAATACCCCTAGGCGTTTTTTAAATTATTGTGATACAGGCTTTTAGAATGGTTTTATTTGAGTTTTTTGGCTGTGTTATAGCAAATGTATTACTGTGTTAGTGTGCCTTGTTTACCACGTTTGGGCATGAGTCATCACAGTGGAATGCAGGGCATCAACCAATAGGCATGCAGCTTTCCTCTATGCTTCTTGCTGATTGGCTGTTGGGATTTAACTTGATTAACACCTGCACAGAGCATTTCCACCTGCACAGAGCATTTCTTGCTGATTGGCTGTTGGGATTTAACTTGATTAACACCTGCACAGAGCATTTCCATACTGACAGTATGTCTGTATTCAAGTGTTTTGGTAGGTATTTCAAGCTTTCCTGCTCCAGCATTGGAATGCGGGGCATGGAAGTTTTTTTTTTAATTTTGAAAATCAACAGTTTGCATTATGCAATTAAAAATCCTAACCAATAAAGTAGGGAATAGCTATCCAACTGTTGTTTTAGTTGTATTTTACTTCATATTATAGTTATATCAATGTAAATCATTGTTTTCCCTTGTGTTTCTCATTCTTTCCCTGCCATGTCGTAAAATGTGGTGAACCCATCGCTATATTTGCTCCAAAGCAAATATTGGCCTTTCTAGTTTGAAAATACTTTCAGATACCAAGCCTGTAAACATACGATACTTGTGACTTACTTTTTGTTCTTCTTTGGGTACATTTCCCAGTTTGCCGGGAGCTTCCGTTCCTCATTGTGAATCATGGCACGGAGTAGCTGAAGCAAAAGGTTGTTTTCATTAGTTATAATATAACGATTCATCAATTGATTACATTACATGGCTTACATTACCTTACAGAGTCTGATACATTACAGTCTAAACTGCTTTGCTAGAAGCATTAACATTAGAAAAGTCGTCGTTTCCAAATATCTCACATGGCATTGCTATTGTCACAGTAGTACATGTACACACGTATTTCAGCACAAAGGACAGGCATATAGGAGGTTGCCTACAGAGAGAAGACTAAATGCACCAAACCATAATATAATGGCAAACAATCGCGTTGAAAAGCCTAAATGTAAAACTTATGGCTTTTTTAGTTATCCCGATCATAAGCAAGTTATCACTACTTAACACACTACTTAACACACGTATTTCAGCACCAAGAAGAGGCATATTGGTAGTTATTTACAGAGAGTAGACTGAAATACACCAAACTATCAATGGCAAAACATCGTGTTTATTGCTTTTTGAGTTATCCCGATCATTAATAAGATATTACGCCTAAAGACTATGAAACTTGCTAGGTCTCACTTGAAGGCACTTGATGTCCATTTTCTCCTGTTGAATCCTCTCCACTAGAGTTGACCTGTAGTTGTTAGACGATATACTGCAAGAAACCAACAAGACCCATGTTAGAAGTATATGATAGATGACACTATATTACTTTAGAAAGGCTATATCGATGTTAGAAGTCCATTATATATCGTATTTGTATTACTTCAGATAACATGTGAAGGCTATATAAGTTGAATTTCTTGGTTTTCATACAATTCGTAATACAATTTCAGTAAGAGGATAGTTACAATGAAAATAGGCGACTGAGAGGAAAACTTGAAATTACTCAACTCCATCTATGTAAGTTCCAGACACAAACTATAAAATATTGGGTTCAAAGGAATGAAACTAGAGAAGTAACATTTGGAAATAAAATGCATAATGTTTACCTTCGGACATGGTCTGCTCTGTTAATTCTTACTCAAACCAACCTTCTTTCTCAAACACATTCACATACATGCGCTACTAGTATATGGTTACAGAAGCAGAGCAGACCATGACATTGCAACATTATGTAACCCAACACCAGTCACCATGGTGACAGACGTCAACAAATCATGTCATTGGTTAGGTCATAGGTCACTTTGGAGAAGAAGAAGAGGAAGAAACAGAGCAAAAACAATATGTTTTCCTTCGGTAAACATGAGATTGAATGAAATCACTTACTGTAGCTGCTCGATAAGCTTCTCGGCCATTCTGTATCGTTCTTCAGGCGCCGTCTTGCTGGTGTCGATGAAACACTTAAGATGATCCTGGAACTCTTCAGCAAGAGGCAACTCTTCACTGGCAACGTTGTCATTGTACTCTACATGGGTGACAAATCAGCTGTGTTAGTTACGTCCAAATCTATAGAGAATGTGTATCGTCTATGTATGTTGCTGGTTACATGTTGCATTAATTCTTCTGGAGCTTATTATAAATGTATGCGACTAGCAATGGCCTGACAGTTTTTTTTAATATTCCAATATGTAGTCGCACGACCCCACGGCATGACAGTTGTTCCTATGATACAGAAACATTGAAATGAATGCCCTACCTCTGTTAGAGGGAAAGTCTATCTGTACTTCCACAGTGTTTTCTCCACAGTAGGCAAACATGCAGTTGTTAGCAAAGGTGTTCAGCTGTTCATTCAGCTCCTCTTCTGAAGAGTAGTACCGCTCATATTCCTTCAATCGGAAAGAAGTTACCATAAGAAACACTGTTTATTATAAACAATGATATATCTATTATAGCCAACAATGATAACAGACTATATCTATAGTAATAAATCATTACACATGTTTTAACATCTAAAAAGTATTGGAAAGAATCATTAAAGACCGTTATGATTATAGAGTAATAAAAAAGTTTGCACTCAATATTATGAACATTTATGAACAATATCCATTTATCTTACATGTACACCACACAAGAATGAGTCTTTATATTTATATCAACACTTTTCTTATTCAATTACAATAATTAGAATTATTATCATAATGGTGTTCAGCGTTACAACCTTCCTGGCATCACTTCTGATGTCCTGAAGTTGCCCGCCGCTTCCATATGTCGATTGAAACTCTTCCATTACCTGAAGCGTAGATTAAGAAACATTAAAATTCCAGCATTAGGTAAACTAATATGGGATGAAAGCTGCAGACAAAGTTTGCAGTAACAAATCTCAGTCTGTAGACGAATTCTAAAAAAAAACTGATTTAGATATCTTCGACCTATCATTCTGCCTATCAATTTCCCCACCCACATGCTGTGACCGGTGCAATGGCGAAGTGAGTAGAGTCCTCGCCTTGCATTCAGTAGGTCTTGAGTTCCATCCCCGGCCGAGTCATACCAAAGACTTAAAAAATGGTACATGCTGATTTCTATGCTAAGCACTCAGCATTTGAGAAGGGTATGGGAGTTAAACACACATCATTACCAGACTGTTCTAGCGCCTTTGTGTAGTGATTGCCCAACTGTGTGACCCAACGGCTACAGAAGCGGAGATGGGTGCCGCTATAAGCCAACATACCAATACTTGCGGGGAGGAAGTTCACTTTTACTTTAACACATGCTGTCAACCTGCTCTCTCTACTAAAAGATAACATTACGTAAAAAACACAGTTCAGTCACCTAAAACAATGCTTCTGAATCCGTAGGTAATTAGTAATGCCTACCCGGACTGGCAGAGTTGCCACCGACAGAATGGAGGTCATACAGTTCACCATGTTCTTCTGGTGGGTTAGGTTGGAAATCAGACTGCCAACGGCATCAATGAAGTTCTGAAAAGAGAGAAGCCCTGTGAGGTACATGTACTTAGTAGGCTAAGCTGTTGTAAATTTCTTGTTTTATTCATCATTTTGAATGTCTTGCTGATTCAAATAAGTATACAACACACAAGCCAACACACAGAGCCACCGAAAACAAAAACAGAGTAAGTATTAAGTACGTAAATAGTAAGCAACAGTTATAATAGACAATTCCTCTTCCTATGGCCAGAGCTTCAATGGTCTTTTCTGCTACTTGCGAGTGTCAATGCCATACACATTGGGTTTCGTAAGAAAGTATTTCTATATTAGATAGCAATAGAGATGTAATCTGACTCACCAGGAGTGATTTTGCCATGAGATCCACATTGTCTGCTTCCTCGGGATGGTTTTCCCGTTCTGGGGAGTAGTACTGTCGGAAGAACACCTATATGTGGAAAACATAATTGAAAAACACAACGTTTGTATTGTCAAAAATAATCAAAGAGCCAGGGCATCTAATTTCCAAGTTATACAGTCTAAACTAGACATAATGTACATAACGAGTTCAAAATAGGTGATTTGCTATATATATCTTTTATAGTATTTAAACCTTTTTACAGTCCTTTACAATACTACAGAACTTTACAATATTACTAATTATAAGCTTGGACTTCGTGCAATCATTGACCCGTATTTAGTTTGTCTTCACAATTAGGTTCATGTAATAACAATACGAAAAAGGGTTGCGTGTAGTGGCCAGATTAAATGCCCCATTACAGTACCTGCAAGAACGGCATGATGGCCTCAAAGATGTAATGCAGGGTGCCATGATTGGACAGGTCGGCTGATTCATCCCTGTAAGGAAGAAGTTAAGATTGATTTATTACTTACTCCATCATTGGAAGGATAGTTTATCTGTGCTGTTAGAATCCTTAGCGCTTTGATCTGACACAAAAATGGTGAGTTAACGTTTTGTGTTGGATCAAAGCTTTACCATAACTTAATCATTCTTAAAATTTGATGTTTCTGTGTGTATCAAACATACATTTTTCATTGCCATGTCATTTTCAAACCTCCCACAAACGTAACATCATCTAACAAAGCCATGCCACAATCTGACCACACAGCACTCTGTCACTAATGTTTGCCTTAAGTTTATTTGTTTTAAACGTTCTATCCTTTTTGTTAAAATTGATTTGTTTTAATTTGGTGCTTTTTCAGTGTGAAAAAATGTGCCATTCGATGACATGCTTTGAATTTGGAAATACCTCGGTTTCTTAGATTTCTTCTTCTTCGATTTCTTTCTCGGTCTTACAACCCTGAGAAAATACAGTATTTTATTACCTTTGAAGAGAAAGACACATGCATGGCTCTACAAGAGTCTCTACTGTGCAGCGAGGTCAGAGTTGCATGAAGTAGTTTCTACTCCTTGTTTTCTAAATTTCTGATGTGCATGTGCAAAGTGATACAGGCTTCTTAATTGGCATCATTTAGTCCTCTTTGAGTACATCGTATTTCTATTACACACACTAACATGCTGTCTATGTACTCCAATATGACAGCCAGGGGATTCAAATTATAGTCAATATGTCATCAACCTGGATATTTTATGTGCTGCATACATGCTGCATAACTGAATAGCAGAAAGCACTTTGCACGCCGAATAGAAGGGAAAATGGCACTTGATAACATGCCTTGCAATTTTTTTGCACTGTTACATATAGATACATAAAATTTACAAAGATCTTCAATGTAGAACAAAGGTCAACGGATAAACCTCCTATGAAGTAGGGATCAGAAAGTACCGAAGCCAAAGCCAAAAGTAAATATTAACATTTTGAAAACTTTGCTGTATTTGGCTTTCTTCTATCTGACATACAAACTATAAAATACTAAAGTCTAAGCATAAATCATAATCAGAGCCAGTTACCATTTTGATGGTGGTTTCTTGAGTTGTTGCTGGGCCTTGACGGGGTTTTCCTTCACGTAGTCGGTCGCCTTCTTCAACACCAGACACAGACCTTTCAGATACTCCCACAGACGCCTGCAATAGGAAAATATATTTGTTTGTTTGTTTGTTTGTTTGTTTGTTTGATTGACCTATTGTTTGTTAAAGACTCAAACTGGCTTGCTGATCGCTAGTCATTGAGGCCAAACACAATACAACAATATACTGGTTATATGATTATTCTGATAAATTCTAAAACGTGTAATATAAGCTTGTTTAGGTTTTATTCATGAAGGTTTCTTTTAAGTCTATAACATGATTTGTCCATGGCTTTCTTCAAATAGGACTCTTTTCCCAGCGCCTTGTAGGACAGAGAAACATTCAAGCTGGAAAGACCCATGGCCCGAAAATAGGTTGGTATATGTAAATCTGGTTGGTAAAGCGTAGGATATTGATTTTGTCACGGCCAGTATAGACTCTCATTTGCTTACGTTTCAAAGGAAGGTGTCTGATATACATTGAAACGTAAGAAAGTGAGATTCTATACCGGTTGTTAAAAAGAGACCCTAATACCAAATACAACTTACGGGTCGTGTGGCGTAGCGGTAGAGTGCCCGACTCAGAACCAAGAGGTCCCGGGTTCGAGTCCTGACATGCCACCGATCTTGTGCCCTTGGGAAAGACACTTAACACGACTTTCCTCACTTAACTAAGGTGAAAATGAGTATTATATTGTCCCTGTGTTTGGTGGTGGCATTAATATAAGTTTTAAAAAAAACTTGAGTGTGCCGTCACCACGTCTTGTGATTACATGTTGGAATATAAAAAAAAAATTACGGATCGTGCGCCAGCTCCCCGACGCCGCTGTCCAGCACGCTGCCGGCCGTGTTGAGGTACACCCACAGCAGGAAGCGGAGGAACGGCCGCTTCAGGTTGTTGTCGATCTGCTCGTTGTTCAGGATCTGGAACAGTTCGTCCACGGAGAAGATGGTTTGGCAGATGGACTCTATGAACCTGTTTTCTCCCTGTAGACGATTATTGTGAGGAAAGATAGAAGTACTTTATTGCACGGCAATTGTACAGGGTGCAACGTATGGCAAAGACTACTGACCATATTGCAAAAAGAAAAAGGTATGAAATAAGAATTAAAGTGAATAGAATAAACACATATGAGACACGATATTGGGTTAGGTGTTCTCAATGCAATCACACATATTTAAAAGAAACACCGAGTACTTGTTTTTAATCATTGTGACATTTTAATCATTTAAAGCTGGAGGTGCAGTTAACTTGCAGCCTTGCATTTTTACTTCTTATTGGGTTTACAAGACAGTATTGCATTTATTGAACAATATGTATTCCAACTAATTATCATAGCTCTTTAATTCAGTCAAAACTTCAACATCTACTGACTTCATGATGAATTACATGTAGTTTTAACTAAGATTTACTGTCAGATATTCTTCAATTCTCTTCATTTTTTACATTGAAGGTGGTCCTACTTGAAGCAATTGTTATGTAGAACAATTTTAAGCTGTATTGTGTTATTTGTATTTTGTGTCATGGTCTATAGTATCTTTGCAATGTTTTATATTAACTCGTGATCGTGTCAGACCCACCTCTGCACATGTGGCGAGAACATTCACCATCCCCATCATGTACCGCAGGTCTCCGATGTTTTGTGTCGCTGTGAAAACTGTCATCCTGAAAAAAAGTACAGAGCTCAGTTTTATAGTCATATTTTCTTTCTAGAAATGAGGAAAAATAAGCTTCAAGTTTGTTGTTTAGAAGATCAAGTTCAACAACTACTTCTTCAAAAGAAAGAAATACATGTACGAGTAGTAGAAGTGGATAGTTCCAAATTGAATGCTTTGTACATTTTCCCACAAATGTGAAGTCTCAATGTATTCATCATTCACATACAAATATAAGCAGTGTCAGTCACAATGCATACATATGCTAGATATCCTTCTTTCCCCGTAAGGCCAAGCGTTGGAATTCCCTCCCTGACAAGTGTTTCCCACCAACCTACAACATGTCTACAGCCTTTCAAACGTTCACCTCCATCTCTTGACATAGCCATGTTTCTCTCATATTTCTAGTTCAATGCCGAGAAGTGGTCGTATAGGCCTTGCATTGAGCCACTCCGTTAAAAATATGTGACAGATTAATTGTCTTTGATCATACCTCTATATAATAAACATACCTTTCTTCAGCACTCCTATCGATGACCCCTGCTACTTCAGATCGGTACTGCATGAAGAACTTCATCACAAAACTCTGGTTCCTCTTCAGGGGAAGGTCAAGTTCCTCCACCTTGTAAGAAACAACATGGAGAATATTGGTTGACCGTCCTTTGGTCCCAGGCAACAGCGAATGAAAAACCACAATTGTTTTTTTTTTAAATCTGATTGAATAGTCACATCAAACTGCAAGCGTCGTTTAAAGCGTAGTCTACTAAGGATGCACCTACATTGTATAAGCTACTGCATTTGGTGGCAAGGAGTTCCACTCTACAATAGTTATAGGAAAAACAAATTCTCAACACCTTAATTCTTGGTTTATAACTCTAGTACTTTCAAGTAGGACTATGTGATAATAGCTATGGGATGACAATACAAAAAAATGCCAAGTCATTCATGGAAAGAAATAACTATTGAAGAACTCTTGAAGAACTCTTGAAGATTTGAAATGGCCCAAGATCGTTAGAAATGGCACATGTTCATGATGATGAGGCCACTGGCACTGACCTGATGCAAATGAATTAAGAGATCCCAACAGGTACAAGTGCAAGTTACCTTGACAATGGCGTTGAGAAGATCCAGGAACTCGCAGCACATTTCCCCGTGTTCCTCCACCAGTTTCCACACCTGCTCCACGTGGTGCTGCTGGACCTTCAGGCACGCCAGCTTGTTCCCGGTGAAAATCTGCGGGTTTGGAGAAAACATTCATCAGTTTCTGGTAGCAAAGCTTTACAAAACAATTAGTTTGGGAGCCAATCCTGTCAATTTTTCAATGTATTCATTTATCTATTATTGCTTTGTGTTGCTAATTTGGCTTCTCTTATGTCCTACATTGTGTGCACTTTAATGAAATTAAAGTAATGATTATTAGTTTTTTTGTCAATGAAAGAGACCTATTTGGTCAAATGTACCCTATAGTTCTGTCCCAAGTGTAGTTATTTTTCAGTTCTAATCACAGCAGTGGCATGAAAGACGTCAGATGTACATGATAGTAATAGTCTTAAACATCTGTAAAAGACAGGTTTGGGACATCTATTTTGCCTTACAGTGTTTGTCCGTGGTGCTGACTTGACTGCTACAGTATATTTTTATTTTACAGCAGGGAAGAGATAAACTGAACTGTACCTCAGTAATGGCCTTGGCCATCTCCACTTCAGCCCCTCTAACTTTCAGCAGGTCGTCAAGTCGCTCAAACAGACGCAGCTGCACAATCTCGTTCCCCCTGTACGGCAGAAAAATGTAATCAAATGAAACTACAACAACTAACAATAACAATGGCACACTTAAGTGGCATTATACCTCTTGAATGTCTTACTGCTATTGCAGATTCTTCTTCAGATTTCCATTGCAAATAATTATGAACTGCATTTCAGAAAGAGTAGTGCAACAGAAAAGCAACAAAGTTAAACGCAGTTTTGAATGAAAACCAATGAACAGAATCTACAGTTTTTCAAAGCTGAATCTAAAGAAAGAGGAATGCCTATCCGTTAACTTTAAATTAAAAAGAGACAAGAGACTTTAGTTATGTGCTTTAAGATGGTACTATAAGGGAATATTCAAGTCAAAATTGCAGAATGTACCTTGCCAGCACCCTTAGTAGCTTGAAGCATTTCTTGAAGATGACCTGCTGACGCGAGTACTGCTCCTGAAGGTGCATGTCGACCTTCTGGAACAGAACCTCAAGGACACTTTCAAGGACATCTAGGGGGATTTTGTATAAAAAAGTTGTCAATGAAATTATATGCCCTCTGCAACATGGTAATATTCACTGTGTTAATCAAACATTTTCAGTTTATTTTTGGCTCCAGGGCATGTTTTAAAAATTAGGACAAATATGTGTGAAAAGAATTCCACTGTAAACTTTTAATAAAAACAATGGTTTTGCAACTCACAGAAGTTGTAGAGGATGGCCTGGTTCACAGGGTGTGACTCTCCTGCTACTCCAGGCAGACAGCAAAATCTAGAAAAAATGTAGGAGGAGAAATATATTAGGAGTTTTTCTTGAATGTGTTAAATCTACATAGAGCAGGTGGAGTAGCTAGCTGCTAGTCATCCGAACGTTATCACAGCCCCACTATTGCATAGATCCATATATAATAGTAAACATGCTTACCCGATGAACTTGTCCAGAATGCCACACATGGTGTTGAGGTTGTCGTTGCTGAGTTTGGCCGGTACGAGCTTCCGGAACCTGGGAAGGTCCTTCAGTACTTCCCTGTGCACCTCACACGACTTCTCTGTCATCAGAACCTGCACAACAACACAAAATATCACTTAATTTGTTTTCTTACAAACGAACTAAATGCAAGGTCAGAAGGATGTATGTATGTATGTATGTATGTATGTAAGTCCCATAACCTTAACGGTCGTCGGGGCATCATGACAGCCAGCAGCATGTCTGGACTTGTCACGATGGCTCCTTAGGCTTATAATATTGGCGGCGCCTATCTCCTCTCCAAGATTTTGGCTGATACAGACGGAGGTCGCCAAGTCTCCGTCCGGGTGAATGATGTTAATCACCATGTGGCTTGTACAAGACCGTGAGGTCGCCAGGCCTCCGTCCGGGTGATTTGAGTGAATCACCAAACTCCATACAGTAGTATTTGTACCATCGCACACCGGGGCATGCCCCTACTCTTTTTCGAAAGGTGTGGTGGGATCTTTAACGTGCTCGAGGTGTGGCTCTCCTCAAACACGGGACCTCCAGTTTACGTCCTATCCGAGGGACGTCCCTAACCGAAGCTAGGTACTCATTTACACCTGAGTGAAGTGAGGAAAATCGTGTAAAGTGCCTTTCCCAAGGGCACAAGATCGGTGACAAGGTGGGGCTCGAACCCACAACCTCTGGGGTCGTGTGGCGCAGTCGGTAGCGCGTTCGGCTCAGAAGGATACTTCTGGGCAATAAGCTAAGCATGTGATTTAATTTCAGGAGGTAAACACTAGTCATGAAAAGAGTTCTTTAGTTTTAATTTCCAGACCATAGAAAGAAGCTGTTGTTGTAGCCATGCAGATACACAGACCTACAAACGAACAAACACACACATACTGCTATGTTAACAGTGTAATGATGTGAATTACAATGTGCAGAAGAGAACCAAGTGGTGTGCTGATATTGTATTGAAATAAAGGCCATAAAAGTATCTGTAAAAAAACATTTCTGTTTGATCAACACCTTTGGAAAAGATGTAGAAGAAAATAGTACTGAATGTGCAATTGCTAGCAGTTGACTTTCAAGTATCTATTACTTAATGGTGAGAGAGTACCTTAGATTGGTCGGCTCGCCTGAACAGGTCCATGAAGGTGGAGTAATACAGGTTCAACACCTCCATCGACTCCACCACCATCTGGTCATACTCGTAATTCGAAACATCCTACAGCAAAACGACAAAGAAATTTCAAATTTGGGCAAAAGACATTAAATTACAAGCAGCATCCACCATCACAATGTATGGGCACATAATGTTATTAAGTGATACGGCGGTGAAGGTTAGACGTCAATGTAATACGATACGCCAAAAAACTGTTGAGTAACTGTTTTTTTGCTTATTAAGTGATGATTAGGTCTGTAGCACACATACCATGATGATCTCTTTCAGCTTCTCCAGGTCAAAGTGCGTACAGGAAAAAGCGATGTCCCTCAGCTTCTTCTCAACAGCTTCCTGTGCACTACAAACAGGGTGGTCGAAATGAAAATTACAAAGGTCACATGAGTAGAAGTATTAGTAAACGTAGTGGTAGTAGTAGTAGGAGGAGGAATAGATAAATGACCTGCTCTATTAATATAATGTGCGATACAATGCAGATATAGTTCTGTGAGGGTTTAACACGAGGTGAAGTAAGTAAATAGTGTTAGGAGATACAAAACAAAGCCTGCTCAACAATCGCTTATCACAGCAATTATACAAAATCAGTATACAGAATGTGCCTGACTGGTCAGTGTACTTACTCGTCATCCTCGTCTGGATCATAGTTCGCATATAGCATCGGCTCCAACTCGTTGGATGTGAACAGCTACAAAAGTCAATGGGGAAGAGGTTAATTTTATATACTTATCATTATTACCAAATCCTAGCCCAGAAAAATGCAGTGGAACACATTTACTTTGTGAACAGTGATATAAAATCGCAAAATCAAACTACTTAGCAGTAGTGAAAGGATTATTTTATTTCGAGAATTATCTTACATAACATGTGCCACATCTATTGTGAAAAATATTTTCGAATTGTGCATGGTAAATTGATACCAATGTATGTACCTTTGCTGCCTGAGAGTTCTCAAGTGTTACTCGGAACTCCAGAACGAAACGCTGTAAAAGAGAAATACACGTACATGTAGGCTAGTGTCAAACTGTTATAAACACCGGCACATGATGAACTATCATAATAAAGTAGAAATTTTTCACAATCCAAAACTTGCAATAGTCAAAAAATACCTTCAAGATTGTATTGAAGCGATGGTTCAGTAGCAGCTTCAACACTTTCAATGCCCTTTTCAGAAAAAAGAAATATCAAAAGAATAGTTATAATTTAACACTACATATTTGTCAAGGTTCTGAAATAACAAATTAAAACATTGTTATTTATTTTCTACTTTTAAGTGAAGTAAGAAAGAAAGTAAGGGCTGTTTCGGTCTGGTCACCAAGTATGGGGAAATGGAAATGGCAAGGATGAATGGTAAGGCAGAAAAGTCCCTACTCTAGTTTGGCGTCGACTATGGCCTTGGTCTTCTTGGAGGGCCGGTACCGTATGGTCTCCTGGTAGCTCTGCAGTAGCTTTTTATACTGTTCAGCTGGAGTGGACAAAATACAACATGAACAAGATGTGTATCTTATTGTGCATGCAGTTAGGGTTCTCATCAGGAAAAATCCTGCTAAAGGTTGTGTACTTTTGCCAAACCGAAACTAACATCACTAGCGCCGAATGAGATTGACTGGTGCTACTGTCCATGGTACTGAATACCACACTTATAATAAGATTACTGACTTTGCTCTGAGCTGAATAGCACACCAACAAGATTGATGCCCCTGGCCCTGGTGCTGAATGACACACAGAATATTACCCTCGCCATTCATGGCTTTTAAGCCTGTGCGTACCTTTGTAACTGCTGTATTACAACACATGGTGCTTATATACATTAACCCATTCAGAATCAGACCATCTATTCCACAGCATAACTCACCACTCATAGTGTTGGGAGGACAGGGCTTGTCGTTCCTTCCGTCCAGCAGAGAGAACATTGGTCCAGTCAGCATAGTAACATCAGCCTCCGTGCTGTAGTAGCCATGTTGGACCAAGGAGTACACAAGATGTAGAACCTGCAGCAAGATAATAAATTCTTAAGAAAACTTAATGCCATAATATCATAATGATACAGCGAAACCTCTCAGGTGGCTACTAAAGTCACGAATCTTAATAATTACTAATTGGTCAATGGGAATCCGGTTGATGTGGCAGCAATGACCAGTGGTCCTCATGTTGAGGTGGTCACTTAAACAGGTTGGCATGTATATCGCTCTAGAGATGGTCCTTATGCGGAGGTGGTAAACAGTACTGGCTTGAATGTGTACATATATCAGTGACCAGGTGATAATTATGCATAGGTACAGGTTTGGTTTGGTTATTATAAGCCTACAGAAACATCGTGACAAGTCCAGACATGCTGCTGGCTGTCATGATGCCCCTACGACCGCTAACGGTTATGGGACTTACATACATACATACAGGTTTGGTTGTACCATGTCACAAAAAGCACATACTTACTTTACATAGCTGTACTCAGTATCTTTGTATATACCTGTTCAATAAGCATGTTATGGCCGATGAGTGAGGCTGTCATGTCCTTGTTCTGATGCAGGAACTTTGCGATCCACTTCTGTAGCGTCGGTAGAACCTTCTTCAGGCTGGCCTGCTTGGGTGTGTTCGGCTGGGGAGGAGGAATATAAACCTGTGAAGTCAGGAGAAACACAAGATGGAAACATGCAGAGGGAGTGAACAGCAAAGTTCTTTGATCACAACCATTTATTTTTCACGAGCCGACGTTTCGATGACCGTCTGTCATCTTCATCAGGGCAATTTTGACTGGTTTAATGTGTACTGACGCTAGATGTTACTTGGTGCATAGTGCACTAAAGGTGTTACATAGTTCTCAGTGCACTAGTGTTTACTTGGTTCACAGTGCACTTAAGCTAGTTTTTACTACTAACAATATGTGTAGTGAAAATCCCTTTACTAGTGTCGTGATTCTATTTCTATTTTCTGGTGGAAGTGAAACGGATATTTTCGTGGTGTCCGAGTGTTTTCAACTTAGTTTGGTATTTCAATTTATGGATACATTAGTCCTAAATGCTCTGCTTCGTCCAAAATAAAAGTGCTCGTTGTTTTCATGCCTTGTGGTGGCTTCAGTTGACAAAAAAAAAACAGAGACGGGGGGCGCCACAGACTTTATGCAACCTATGATCCACTGCTCATGTAGTCACGCGTGTTATCTGCGTGACGTCACGGAAGCGGTGGATTGCTCATTCCTTGAAGAACACTGGAGTTGTACAGTCGAGAATTTGCGTGAGTCCAATTTGTTGTGTTGAAAATTGCAGTTTAAACTTTGCTTCATAAAAAAAAACAAGGATTATTGTGCAATATTGTACCTGTTGTACTTCATCCCCAACAAATCCAGAATCCTTCAGATCGTCCCAGATGAAGGAGAGGTTGATGTAGTCCAGGGGCAGCGGGAAACAGTTGCTCGTCACCTCCACAAACAAGCCTGGAATTGGAACAAAATATGGTCAGCACTTGATAAAGAAATATGATATGTGTACCAGACAGAGTATTATACATGCCTTAAAATTGAGAGAAAATTTGCTCATAAAGGTTTTTCACTTTACTGGGGGAATTTTTTTTCAATATAGGTGTATCTTTTCACACTCAAAAATGAACTGTTAATATCAGTGTGAATAGTGTTCATTGTATGACAACAATAGTCCGGCCATTTCAGTATGTCCTTCAGAAAATGGTGGTTTGAGTACTTCACATGAATAATTTATTGGCTGACGATTACTGACTCCTGTGAACACATAAAGAATATCTGCTCGAACAGCCTTGAATCTTTTCTTCCAGTGAACAATAGGTCGTGGCACAGGCAGACACCACGGGCGTTACTTCAAATGACTCAGCACTAGGCCACATTTCATTTCTTGGTGACCCATTGCAAGACACAGACAGTTTCCAGACTCTACTTTATGTTGATTTTCTACTACAGCATCATTTTTAAATCCAAAAACCAACAGCTTGAATTGGCGTGCCCTTGTGGTAGATTTAACATATACAAAAAAACACAACTTTCCACAGAAGAACCTTCCTACCGTACACTGTTAAGCTCTGGAACTCCCTCCCACATACATTGTGACTCTAAAGGCCAAACATAGATTTAAGTCCTGTGTAAACCTCCACCTCAGTAATATTGGACAGCGTCCTTGAGACAGCTGCTAAGCTGAGAGTCAGTTTCAGTTTATTACGATACCCTTCAGTCCGTTCGGGCTACTCTTCCAGGGCTCATTACACATTACACACACAGTACAAATATACACATATGACTACAAATTTGCATACACGTTGAAGTCACATGTCAGACAAGGTACTAATTATAGCTAAAATCATTGAACGAGCAAATGCATTGCATAGAAAAAAACAGATCACAAACGGTGATAAATTTAGTACCGTTGATAAGGCGACAATAGACAGCTCGGAGCTGGTCAGGCAGCCGATCATCAGACAGACACAGAAAAGCTTCTTCCCACGTCAGATACTTCAGTTCCTGGTAGATAAAAACACATAAGTGTACACCATTTTTAAATATCATGGATCTTAGGTTGGCAAGATGCAATGAATATCACTCAATATTTCTGCAGCATTTAGCAACAGCATCAAAGTTATATTTGATGATTTTTCAGTTATTACTGTTTAGTTGGGATTCAGACAATGTTATGAAATGCTATCATTAAGTATGACATAACCTGAATAGTCATCCATACATTTTGTAATTACAGAAAACCATCTGGCGGAAGGCAAGCATCTTATCATTACCAAAAAAAGTAAAACATAAACAATGCTGTATTTTACCTTTGTTATGACCGATATGGCAAACTCATTCCCTCCCTGCAGTAAAAGAGCAACTAATAAGTTATTCCCGCCTGAAATTAGACTTACTATACAGTATAAGTTTTAAAAATGTTCATTAAAATCCATAAAATATATGATTTATTATGTTATTAAGAAAATAATCTTATCGCGAGACCGAATATTTACTCACAAAGCAAAGTTTTTCAAACAGGTCCAGTTGATAGTTGAGGAACAGGATGCTCTGTTCATCCGCAGTCTGAAACAAAGTTCAACAGCAATGAGATGAAACATGCGACGTATGTAACGTTCCATCTCAAAGTGATAAGTCAAATTTCATCCTGATTTCATGTTTTACCATTTCCATTTCATACAAGGTACATATTCATGTTTCATCAACATTTAAATCATCGCTTCTCATAGTCTTCTGTAGCTAGTGTGTAGATTCATTTACTTTTATTTCTACATAATGTAAATTTCCTTTTGTGCTAAATGCGTTCTTTTTACCATCATGTTATCTGTTGTATATGTGTTTTATGAGCCCTGGAAGACTAGCCTTTTGGACTAAAGAGCATCGAAATAAAGAGAAAGACATTTCATGACACTTACCTTGACAAACTCATGCAGAGGTGTCCACCTGCGGCGATTGGTTGTGGACACATGCACCAGGTCTGCTTCCTTCCCGATCCCTGGCCCAAGCTCAGTATGGTACACACAGGCCTGGAAAACATACATAAATTAATAAGTTAAAGGCAGTTCAATATAAGTAGTTCAGGCATACACATATTAATTTCTTGAGAAGTAGCAAAAAAAGTAAATATTGATTTTAAGCCACCACAAATGAAATGCCTACCTTAGCGTCCTGGTCACAGAGCCATACTTTTGTGATGTACTCTGGAATGTAATATTGTGATATTTGAGTGAATTGAATTTACATTGATCTAACCTAAATTTTTTTTTAAATAAAATTCAATGAAAATTCAATGTATAAAGTATAAAGTAAATTTGTTACCTTGGTTCTCGGGAATTGCCACCCCGTCACAAACACAGAGAACTGCCAACATCTCCAGGTATCGGTAGTCCTACCATTGAACAATAACAATGTTACCTTTGGGATTAAGTTTACATTTGGGATCAAGAGACACAATTTTCCGAAATCAAAGAAGACAAGCGAAGCCACTCCTAAATTAAACAGGATTTGGAGTTGAAAGATAAAAAAATTGAACATTGGGAAACATCAATTGAATTTAGATTCTCAGGTATTTTACTATGAAAAGAAAAACAGAAGGCTAGGGGAGGAAACTTGGATCGGATTCTGTTCACTCACTGACGCTGCGTGCATACGTCCACTCAAAATGTGATTTTATCCCAAAATAGCATTTTTTAAATCTAAGAACTTAAATTGGTGCGGCTAAGATTTGATGTACATTGTGCAGTTCTCACCTTGTTCCTCATGAGCAGGTTGATGAAGGTGTCGATCTGGGCCTTGTTGATCCTGTCCACGATCTTCCTGTTGTCATGTACCAGCTCCATCAGCATCTTAGTAGCAGCCAGACCAACCTCACCCTGAAAGGAAGGAAATGCCATCTTTAATTCAAGGGAAGCTTTGTGATTTTTCATGTTCATAGGACTAAACTTCAACTTTGACATAGGGAAGATGAGTGCTAGTTAAAAGTTACTGCGCACTGTAACTTCATCTCGTGTTTTTAAACAAACACTCTTATTGATAGGCATAATGTACATTCATGTTAACTATGCAAGTTTGAAACAATATTCAGTTTTCACAAGTTTTCAACATGAGTAGTTTATGGATGATAAAGAATAAAATTCTGATAACATAAACTTTACACAAGACTGCAAATAACATGAAGGGTAAAGCACAAAACAATCCACGATGCAGCGAGGGCTACTCCTTTGCAATAGGACGTGTGCCAGGTGACTGAAACAGGATTCGAACTCCCAACCCAGAGGCCTGGTTCCTGAACCCTACGCTCGTGAAGCTTACCTCATCTTTAATCTGGCTGTGTATGAAACTGGTGTGCCTGGCCATGTACAGCTCGTTCTTCCTGCTGTCTCCGATCAGGTATGTGAACAGGGCCGCGTAGGCCTCCACAAATATGCCGATCAGGTGTCTGGCGAAAAAACAACCAACAAAAAAATTAATAGAAGCCACGTGACAAGCCTCATTGAGTTACTCTACTGAGGAAAACCTGAGTGACAGATCGAAAGCTCCAGGTGAGAGAATTTTTGAACAAAAATTTTGAACAACAAAAAGCTAATTCGCTCTGTCAATAATCCTTCTAGTCTGTTGTGGCCTTTACCAATACAATTATGTAAGAGACACAAAATACAGCGAACTATTGATCTACCAAAAGGTGATGATTCTTCTATTATGTACATGTAATATGCTTAATTTGGATCAGAACCTACCGTTTGTCATCTGAACCACGATATGGAGTCCCCAACAGCTTGATAAGCAACTCGATAATCTGTGACAACAATGTTTATACGTCATGTTTCTAAAATGATAAACATTCAAAGGAAAGAAGAAATCCTCGAAGAATTATTACATGGAAAACAGGTATTACAAATTTCAAGAAAGTGGTGTGTTACACAGAAAAGCGTTTATACGGATACAGATACGCAACTGCCACAAACAAAACATGTGTCGTCGTTGGGTCGTGTGGCGTAGCGGCAGTGTTCTCGACTCGGAACTAGAGGCCCCGGGTTCGAGTCCTGACATGCCACCGATCTTGTGCCCTTGGGAAAGGTACTTTACACGACTTTCCTCACTTCGCTCAGGTGTAAATGAGTATTGTACTGTCCCTGTGTTGGTGGCGGCATTAATATAAGTTGAAAAAACTTGAGTATGCCGTCACCACGTCTTGTGATTACATGTTTCGGAATATATAAAAAAACATGAAAATCAACATTACCCTGAGATTCCTCAACAGTTTTTGACGATCCTTGATCGGTTCTCCTTTGACAATCTGCCACTTAGAGAGCTCCTTCAGTGTCTATAGGGTAAGACCATTCAAGATTAGTGATGAGTCAAAAACTTGATACTTTCAGTTATATTTCCTAACTTATAGTCTGAGAGTAACACAAGTCTTACTGACAAATGTAATTCCTTGTTTCCTTGGAAGAGCATCAAAAGAACCATGCGTTCGTCTGGGCTACTGTACGACTAAATTGCCTAAGGGCTACTTTACTTGTATTTTAGATTCTCCATAAAGAGACTTTATTTTCTGGTATGATACAAATTCTTTATAGCTACCTCAATGCAGTCAGCAGCCTGCCTCTCAGTGATGGGGTTTCCATCCTTCCTCTGCAAAAAAATTCAAATTTTACAATTCAATATTTAATATTTAATAAATTCAATATTCAATGTCATTGACTGCCCATACTCCTTGTACTTTAGATTCTTAAAAAGTTGTGTTTTGTATTTACGTTAGGTAACAATAATTACTTACATATTCTATGATGTGTTTGATGACCGGAAGGATGCCAGAAGCGTAGCTCATTATGAACTGACGTTCAGCATTCACCTGGAAAATGAAACGGTAGATAGTTAAATACAGGTTTAGCTGAAAGAAATGTCCAAATTATCTATTATAATTGCTCTATTTATGTATATGCCACTTCGGCAGTTGTATACAGTAAATAAAAAATAGTCAGAGCCTGACTTAACTGTCTCTTGTAATAGGCATCACTGTCAACCTATTCTAGCTAAGGCCTAACAAAAGACATAATTACCTAAGGCTTATGATAACTACACACTACTGGTTTCATGTGCTAAGTTCTACATTCAGGGACTCACTACAGTTTCACTCTAAGTCTCATATTACAGTTATACATACCGGACATAGGGGTTTTGTAGACAACTAAATTGCCCTACGTTGCTTACGTATCAGACACCTTCCTTAGAGCTTCTGACTGAAGTTCTGCTTCTCGCCGCTATATTCAGTCGATGTAGGCGGCACTTTTGAGGCGAGAATCGTAAGCAAGGCCAGTAGGACAAGTTTGGTTGTGTAAAAGAAAACTCCTATATCATACACTTTACCAACCTGATGAAACTATTTTCGGAAGTTCTACCCACCTGTTGGATGGTGAAGGCGTCGTCGTACATGCACCTGTCCACCATGCCGACCTTCTGTAGGGACGCCCGGTCCCACGCCATGCCCTCATCAGACGCGCCGATAGCCCCGTGCCAGGTCGGCACGTACGTTTCTACATCCAACAACACAGTTTGTATTATCGTTTCTTACACACAATCAGAAGTTTCCTAATAGTTAGGATTATAATCCAAAATGCCGCCGCGCCGCGTGCCTGCGAGGCTGGTGTGTTACGCCGAAGGGAGGTTATATCGGCTATACAGATACAGATACAGAAGGTTCGAACTCGCAACACTTATCGATAAGACTAGGGGTCCTTTGCAGTGTGAGTGGTTCAAACCTTACTGCCCGGTCTTACGCAGCTTGTACTTACTATACAAAACTGATGTGTTACGCCTTAGTGCATGCTGTTCACTGTTTATGCAGTGTAAAGAAAACAAAAACAGATTACCTTGTAGAGCATGTACCCAGGTACCAGTCACCACATGTTCGATCCGGCAGTAACTGTCAAACGGGATCTCCTCAGATTCCTGCAACAAATGTGAAATTTCAGACAATCAGTGATTCCTATTAAATTTGAGCTGCTATTTTGAATACCAAGTACCTTTTTACTTTTCCTCACTAGGAAAAATAGAGCTGGAATATTCTAATTCCTAATCTATAACTTACCTGAATGACTGGGTGAAGGCGGAATATCGTGTTTGCATCGTTCAGATCATCGCTTAGATCAAGCTAAAGAGACAAAATAACATGTGTTATGGAAAGGGGTTCTAGGTACTATAAAACTGGAATTTTCGTGTAATTAATTAGCCATTAAAGTTATATGGATTACTAATAAGCAAATGCCAACTTCATTATCTAGCAGTAGAGTTTGAATTGTCTATGAATATATTTTACCTGGAAGTCTAACCTTCATCAACATACCAAAAACAATTCCTCGTTCACGGAGGTTAATTGTAGGCAATTACAGGTAACGTTTCCTTTTGCAGTTATTGGTGTTCAACATCATCTACTAGTGTAATAGTTAATTTAAAAAGTTAGAGATTATACAACAGTTTCAAACTACCTTGAACTTGTCCCCGTCTCTGGACACACTGAGGTACTTCCTTGTTGTGATGTGACGTAACAGACATCGTTGTTCCCAACAAAGCGTATTCCCTGTTGACAAAGCAGAGAGAAAAACGAAATTGAGACGTTTTATTTTCGTGCAGTTTATGATTGACATTTGACTCCCATTGCAGTCTGTGCAATTGGATGGTCTCATTATTAATTTAATTTCATTTTCAATATTAATTTAATTTTCGCATATCTAAGAAAATTAAAACTACTGGGATAATTTTCCAAATGGCCTGGTCATAGACAGCTTATGTTTTCTTAAATAAGACTAAATACAAATTTAAACTTGTATGATACACCTTGTATGCAACCTATAAAATACCATCTAAACAAACAACACATAAACAAACGTGTTGGGACACTTTTCTAAACGCCCTAGTGCTATTCAGCCAATATTTTACTTTTTTTTTGTTATTTGAAAGCAAAAAATCCTGCGTGCACTTTTTACCAGCTTAAATATATAAACAAACAACAAACAAACAAAGATGTCCAGTACCGTTCATGATGTCATCGCCATGTTCCACCTGCCAGTACGTGATCGCAGAGGATGACGGGAACATGGACCTGGGTTTGTTGGTGTCCTGTGGCCGGACTCTCAGATGCACTGGAAACGATGCGCACAAAATACATTACTGCAAGTTTTCTTTAAAAAAGCAATTACTTCTTAGTGAAGTGTCATAAGCAATACCTTTTTTTCTGTTGAAAATGTATTTTCTAGCCGTGGCGACCAACAGGACTAGCTCTGTGACTAGTATGTAGATTATATATTCATAGTATGTTACTTTCATTTGTGCATTATAGATTTCCTTTTAGCTAAATGTGTTTTTTTTTTACCATCTGTTATTTGTTGTATATGTGTCTTTTTTCTGCATAAGCCCCGGATGATTAGCCTTTTGGGCTACAAGGCATCAAAATAAAGAGAAAGAGAATAGGAAGTAGAAGTTTTTGGTTGCCCAATGATGGCAAGATCTTCATATTGGTAGCTGGTAAATTTTGTCAACTGTATGTAACTGTGTATATTGCTAAATATTCTCCAATGTTATCTACCGTCTTCGAAGCTTTCATCCCCGAACGAGCCACTCGCCACCATGTAGGCTTCGTGTTCTTTGTGGTACAGACGGATCAAACAACCGCCCTGAAAAAGAGAAAGACAACGAAATATCAGGAATGCGAGGCTCAGCCCGAATACTCTACCTATAAATGCTTATGTCAGAACTGGTCCCTTGTTGCTCTTCATTATATCCCTCAAGACAGCACGGTCTTTAGCCTTTTGTTCTACAACCTTGAGGGACCATCCAGTATTCAGATGATATAACAGTATGGTGTTACAGAGAGATATGACAAAAACAGAATGAAAACTTTGTTGTAAATGAAGAAAAAATTAGGTAGTTTTCTGATGCACGTCAACCCCTGATTTCTATCATATTTGTTTTTGTATTACTTTGTGTTACATATGTATTATCATCTGTTTAGATCGGATTCCTTTTTGTTAATTTATCCTCTCATCATGTGTAAGTAGTAGCTTTAAAATTTGTCTTACTTGAGTGCGTTATCACTATTAGTGTTGTTTCATAATGTAAACACTGACTTACGGTGAGGTATTTGTCCTGTTGATCCTTGGCGCTGCTGTTGCGGTAAACCGTGAAGGCGCTATGCCTGACGGACAGGTTCAACTCGCGACTGTGCGAAGGGAAACAAAACAGGACGTGTACTTCAACTCTGAGCATGACAAGCCGTCGAGTGACGAATAAGCATCATTCTATCTATGCTTTGTCTTGTTTTTTTCTGTAACGTTCCAACATTTATGACAAGACATGGCGGCGGCACACTCAGGTTTTTCGAACTTATTTTTATGCCGCCACCAACGCAGACAAACGCATTCGGACAACAGACATACTAACTTTCACCTGAGTGAAGTGAGAAAATTCATGTGAAATGCCTTCCCAAGGGAACAAGTTCGGTGGCAAGGCAGGATTTGAACTCAGGACCTGTTGGTTCAGAGCTGAACGCTTTGTCGTTACGCCACACGACCCCGTTTTGTCTTGTTTGGAACTATCTATAGGGCACGACCTAGGTGATACGAAAACCTTTACCTCGTGCTCTCCACGAATTTAGGCCCGTATGCAGGTTTACTGGTGTGCAGGTAGTTCCCTGGCGTCTTCACACTCTCCAGCACGATCTGGTCCCCCAAGCGGACCTGACGGGAAGTGCAGACGTTTGTTTGTTTGTTTATTAGCATATAATCAATATAATAGAATAAACATAACATCACAAAAGGAGATATGCGGTGGGAAGATAAAAAGCCGTTATGGCCTGTCCGGGATCTACCCCAGACAACATTAATTGTATGGCACATTATTTTAACAGTGATTGATCAAATTAATGGTATTTAGATAATGAATGTCGTCTATGTGAGTTTTCACCATCATCACTATTACGTCTGGTCCTTGGTTTAGTTTATTCAACTTTTAATTTTCTTCGTCAGTTTTGACGGTTTTCACAAATGAACCACACTGTACATGGTTTATTTGAATGTCAGAAAAATCTTCGTGTACTATTTTGCGTTCTCCATATCTCATATCGATGAGTGTGTTGGGTTCTTTAACGGAAATGACGTCACCATGACGTCAGCATGTTTGTGTGTACTTAGGGTGTGACGTCGTATGTTTGTGTGTACTTACGGTGTGAGGTCATCATGTTTGTGTGTACTTACGGTGTCCAGTTCGGCCTTGACCTTAAACCTCGGCATGATTTTGTACTGCGCATGCTTGGAGTTGAACGGAAGGAGCTCCACCTAACGATGAAGGAAATGACGTTGTCAGAAGGATACAACAGATCAACTAACTTAGGTGTGCTACTGCCCCCACAAGTAAGACAAACGACCACAGAAGAATGTCAGAAGAATAACATACGATCTACTAATTACTAATTACTAGCCTGAGTGCCAGCCTTATTAGCTTTCGTCCGTTCCGCAAGATCCGCTCCCCAAGATCGCTGGGAGCGGACGAAAGCTAACAAGGCTGACACTCATGCTAGTAATTCCTCGATACGAGCTCAGAAAGTGATAACAAAGGACCATGCCTTCAAGTACCAGAGTTCTCAATTGAGGCCTAGAATTGGGGTGATTAGTAGATCTTATGAAGGAAAGTTACGAAAGTTAGAGTAAACATCAATGATGGCTAAACTTAGCCTCCTTCGCAGTCTTGTTAGGCGTGAGCGTTATTTTTGTGAGCGACGCGAGTAATATGCGGCCGCGAGGGACGATTTGCTGCCGAGGGAGTTTTTGCCACGGAGAGAAGGTTTCCCGTTGGAGCGGGAAACCTTCTTTCCGTGAGGCTAGGCTAAACTCACCCGCATGTTGTTAATCTCGGTATGTGACGTCTGGGTGGTGCTGACGTGGACAAACTTCTTGGTAAACACGTGCTGGAGCTGGAAAATTCCCACAGTCAGGAATATATATAAACTGTTTTTTCAAGTAGCATCATTGAACGTCCATATTAAGCAAAAAAAGTACAGGAACATTTCTGTCCAACTCTGACACGCCAAGAAGGCTTTTTTAAATTTATTTTCCCAATTAATCCACAACAGGTCATGTTAGGCCACCTTTTCGAAGCCACCATGCCAGGCTGGCTCAAGACTTGATAGCGGTTGCAATAGAAGCAGACTTGCACACTTTTACTCGAGATAATACAACGTTACTTTGATTGGCAACCGCTTCTGACAGCCTTCTCAATCCAAGGATTGCAAACAGTTTCCCCCTGCTTGGAGAGTGAGCTAAGAATACTTGCTTTATCGAAATGTTAATGTCATACCTGAATAACCTGTCCGTAGTGCAGGCGTTTGCCCTCCTGACGTTTCTGTTCCATGTCGTTGTCGGCGCTCTCCGCGTCCGCCGCAGCCTGAAATGGACGAGTCGGGATATTATTTAGGCCCCCCTTTTCACGACTTTAAACCGGTGCAATGGCTAGGTATTCAGTATTTTTGAAAGAGTATGGGAGTGAAACACACTCAACTACCAGTGGACTAGCCCCCTGCTGTAGTGATTGCACTGTTGTGTGTGGCCAAGGGCTATTGAAAACGGAGATGGGCGCCGCCCTATGCGTCACTTGACGCGGGAAGGCTCTTTAACTTCCATAACTATCTAGAACTAAGGAGAATGAGTCATTATGAAGTAGGAATCCAGCCCGGGACCTAGCGCAGCCAATACCAGAAGGCGGTAAAAAAAAACTGGGGTGGATCTGTCCTTGGTGCTGAAATACCGGTGTAGGAAGAATAGAAACTTGAACTACATTTCATGGTTTTAACGTACTGTTCTAGTAACTTCATTCCTTCCTATCATTAAGACGACTATATTGAACCCATCTATACCACCTGAATTAAAGTTACTTCTTAGTAACAGTGATAGACCGGTTTAAAATGCTTTTAGTATCTTTCCTGAAGAACTACGAAAAGCCATACAACAATAATTGAAAGAACTGACCTGGGCGCGATACATCTCCGATTTCTTCGTCAGATCATTCGGATCCTTCCTGTAACAAACAACGTTGCTCTATTTATTCTCTTTATTCCTATACCCTTTAGCCAAAAGGACATCTTCTATGATTCATTCGAAAAAAAAACACATACATACATACAGTTAATAACATAGTAAAACACTCATGCATAACCCAAAATTAGATTTACACTGTATACAAATGAAGGAACATAATCTACAATCTAATCACAGTCACACTGTTGGAACAGTTGGTGGATAGTTGCTGACTGTAAGTTTTGATGGTAACCTTAGATGCAGTTCGATGCTTCCTGAATTTCTTGTTAGGAGAAAAAAATCAGAGACAATTCCGATAGTAATTTAGCAAGAAAGTTCATCTGTGTTGGTACAAGTCATTATGAAATAAAGACTAAACTCTCCTGCCAACATCATACTGTGAACAAGGTTGAAGGAGTCAGCCGAAAATTTGGGGTAAGTCTCTGATTCATTCCAGTGTTGGAAGGAAAGTTTAGTCTTTATTTCCAATGGTAATTCTTTAAATACCAACCTGCTCTCTTCTTGTGCTCGCCAGTGCTTCTTGCTCGCCTTGTACCGGTACTGTACGCAGATTTTAAACGTTGCCACTGAAGTAGGAATCAAAGTTACACACGTTAGCTGTGTAAGTGGAAAATGTGAAGGGACATTTCATCTAAACTTTACTTTAAAGCTTTCTTTCTTTCTAAGCCTAAACTTTCGTCAAAGCCTAGGCCTAAAGCTTGCGACAAATATGTTTAAGGATACCCGGACAACTGATATTCTTAGTTATCCTGTTATCTTTTGCCTAGCATTTAATGTATCAGAAAGCAACAGTAGCTTATAGTTCACAAATATTCTTCGATAGCCGCCCTACCTTGTGCATTTGGTAGCGGCGGCTTCTTCCGATGTTGCTTCACCCCCACGCTAACCTCGGTATGTCCGGCACTGCAAAGGAAAGAAATGGTTTATTATGCATTTGTCTTTTCTTTAGCCAGGATAGCTTACTCAATGTCTAGTCACTGTTTTTCAATGAAGCCCTGGTAGAAGAAGCTTAATAGAGCGGAACTCAATGCCGCCAAGTACAGTAGAGTCATCTTCAGTAAATACAAGCAGCTTTAAACAACGCTTGCAGCTAGATATGCAACGGTACGGGTGACAGGTCGTTTTATATGAATGTAAAGTGCCTGCAAAGCTGGTGTGTTACGCCTAAGGACGGTTATACCGACTATACAGATACAATTGAATGACCGATGAGCAGTAAGTGGTACGCGAAACGAAGAGATTCAATCCTATATTCCAACATATCAAGCTGTTATTAAGTTGTTTATTATTATTAGTATTAGTAATTTTTCTTGCATGATATTCTGTTATTCAGTTAGCTCCACGCTTTTGATTGTGTTACTTCAAATGGCGTCTCTTAATATAGATCATGTCTTCATTAAATATTGATAGGTAGATCATGCGTTGCTATCCCACAATATCTGACATGTCACGATGTCCATTCTGACAACTGCCACGCCTAACCGAATGCAATTAACCCTAATAATGCTACATTGTCGCCTATACATTTGTACAAGTGCGTTGCAATTATTAAACATGTTGCATGTTACAAAACTGTTGCGTTTCCTTTATCAATAATTCATTCTCATAATATAACATAACATCATCTATTGTGACAATGTGAAAACACTAACGTGTACAAATTCGCAATTTATGGTTTCGTTGGCGTATGATTCAAACGTCTGACAAAAGACTTCTTGGCGCGTGTGCATATAACGTATCAACAAAAGCTATCACCCCCAAAACACACACGGAAACAAACTTACACACAACATACTCACACACACACGCGCACACACACACGCGCACACACGCACACACACACACACACACACACGCGCGCG